TCACTTAAATCATGTTTTTTGAGGTTCGTCCATGTTGTTGCATGCCCTACATTACTTTTTGAATTTAAAAAAATTAAAGTGAAAATAGCAATTTCAAAATTATCCCACATAAGTATATTGCAAAATGGTTGTAAAATGGAAGGGAATTACATAAACAGTATTTCTTGTCAATAGTTACCATTTATTAAACATCCATAATATGCTAGTCACTCTATTAGACTTTAGGTATGTTATCTCGTTTAAGACAAGAAAAATATTTGATGTAATAATGGTTGAAAAACTTTCAAATTTGATGAAAACTGTGAACACATGGATCTAGGAAACTTAATGAAGCTCTAGTACAAGAAACGTGAAGAGTACTCCGTCACGTCACGTTGGAAGATATTAGAGTGACATTCACTGAGCCTGCTACTGGAATAAAAAGGCACATCAGCCTAGAAACCTATACCCAGAAAAAATATCTTTCAAAACAAAGGTGAATTTTTTTTAGACATACATTTTTAAGGAAAAATGATTGAAATATAGTGGTTTTATAGAAGTCCAGTGGATGACAACAATAGCACAAAGGTCACGAGGGGAGAAATGGAAGTATATTATTGTAAGGTTCTATATTCTATGTTAAGTGGTATAATATTACTTGAATGGAGACTATATCAGTTTAAAGATGTATACTGTGAACCCTAAAACAAACACTAAAATAAGCCAACAAAGGAGAGAAAATGGAATCATAAGAAATATTTAGTTAATCCAAAAAAGGCAGAAAGGAGGAAAAAGGAAACAGACAATAGAAAAATAAGTAGCAAGATAATAGATTTAATTCTGAACTTAGCAATAATCACATTAAATGTAAACAATGTAAGTATGCCAATGAAGAGAGGGAGATTTTCAGATAGGGTTTAAAAAGCAAGAAACAACGATATAATACCTACAGGCAAGGGACTTCAAATATAAATACTGAATCAGTTAAAAGTAAAAGAATTGAAAACTAACAGTAATCAAAAAAGTTGAAGTTACTGTCAGGTAAAATAGATTTCAGAGCTAAGAATATCAGAGGTAAAAAAGGCAATTTCGTCATGATAAAGTGGACATAATGCTAAATGTTTATGTCCCTAATAACACAGCATCAAAATACACGAAGGAAGAGCGGATAGAACTGAAGGAGAGATTGTGGAGTCAACTCTACAGTCCCAGCAGGGTATTTTGGTACTTTTCTTAATTATTGATTGAACAAGTAGAAAAAAAATCAGTAAGAATATAGATTTGAACAACACTGTCAACCAACTAGACCTAACTGGCATTTGTTTATAAATCCCTCTGCCCAGCAACAGTAGAATGCATAGTCTTTTAAAATGCACATGAAATATTTACCAAATATATGGAACATATTCTGGGGCATAAAGTAAGTTTTGATAAATTTAGAAATAAGCAAGTTGTATAAAGTATTTGCTGACCATAATAGAATCAAATAAGATGTCAGTAACAATAGAAAGATTGCTGAGAATCACCAAAGATTTGGAAACTAAAATAACATGCTTCTAACTAAGTCATGGATCACAGAAGTAAGCAAAAGTGAAATTAGAAAGTATTTGGAATGGAACAAAGATGAATGCCCAACTTATCAAAATTAGTGGGATACGCAAATAGCAGATCTTAGAGGGGAATTTATAGCATTATACACCTATATTAAAACAGGAAAAAATCTTAAATCTATGGCCTGAATTTCTACCTGTAAGAAACTAGGAAAACAAAAGCAAACTAAATCCAAAGCAAACAGCAAAAAGGACTTACTAAAGGTCAAATTGAAATCAATGATGTAGAAAACAGAAAAAACAATAGAGAAAATCATTTGAACCACAAGCTCATTCTTTGATAAAAATCAGTAGTTAATAAATCAAACTAATCAAGAAAATAAGATACAAATTCCCAGTATTAGGAATGAGAGAAGTGACATCACTTTAGATTCTAGAGCTGTTAAAATGGTAATAAGGGAATGCTATTAAGAACTTTTTGAGTGCGAAGGCTGTGTTCATTATCTTGATTATGCTGATTTTATGTGTGTATACCGATGTCAGACTTGCAAAATTGTACACTTTAAATGTCAATTGTACCTCAATAAAGCTATTTAAAGTTTTAAGTAGCCAGGTGTGAACAGTAGCTATAGAATTGGACTGTGGAGCAATATGCTGTAAGCTCCCTGAGGGTCATAGTGTATTTAAATATCGTCGGTATAGAGCAGATACAGACCAACCACATGCCCAATATTTAATGAAGAAAATGCAAGCTACATTTAGCAGGGTAAGCATGGGCGTATCACTTACCTTCTCAGGATCTAAGTTTGCTGATATGAAAAAATATAGAGGTTTGTCTGAAGTTCCTTTTAGCTCTAAAATTCTATAATTTGAAACAGAAAAAATATTCTTCATTATTTAACTGCAGGCTTATGTTTATTTGGAAAAGCACTTTGTTGAAGTCACAATGTTTAATAAATTAACACAGTTTTTAAAAACTGTGAAAACTTTATATCACTAAAAATAAAATCCTTTCTTTAGCATCTTTAATATAATACCAAATATCGTTCTTAATAAAATTTGGTCTTTCCAATGGTTTTGTTGATGTGGTCTCCTCGCTTATCCCTCATATCCTCAGGGTCTGTTAGTAGCAAGTCTCTGCTTCCTTGACCACTTTGTATGAAGCAACAAGCCCTACTCTCCTGCATTTTATTTCCTTATCTTGCTTTGTTTTTCTCCAAAACTCGTATCACTGTGTAACATATTATTTTCTTTTAATATCTTCTCTCACCTGACTACAAGATAAGTTCCGTGAGGTCAAAACTTTGTCCATTTTGTGTATGTTGTAAGTTCTAGAGCAGTGCCTGGCACGTAGTAAGTATTCAGCAAATTTGTGTTGAATGAGTTGACCAGTTGTGCTTTCATATCCCTTAGATTTTTCCCTGCTTGTACAGACTTTCGACTCTTGAATCTCTGCTGTATAAAAATCTGAGCCTCAAATGTTGGTGATTGGGAAGATTTCAAAAGGTCTGCTTGTTTAAAAACAAACTTCTTTCTAGACTTATATGTCTGGATGAGGTTTTTATATCTAGATCATTTCTATGAATAACAAAACAAAGTAAAAATAATCTGTTCAATGCCTGACACGTTTACAAGCGTCATCTCATTTAATCTACCCAACAGTTCAAAGTGAGAAGATATTCTCACTTTACAGATAAAGGATCTAAGCCTCCGGGAAGTTATATAAGGGAACGAAAGTCATGCAAAACTAGTTTGAAAACATAGATCTGCCTTACTCCAAAGCTTGAGTTCTTAAATATTGTACTCTTTCCCAGTTTCAAATGTATTATTTGTTAAGATAATTGTTAGTTTAATATGAGCACAGGTATGTTTACTGTATTAGGATGGAGCATGGCAACATTTTGAGAGAAAGAGACTTTGGGAATTTTCTTTAGAGAAAGTAGAGTGTGTGGGAAAGATTTCTAGGACACTCCTAGAGAGGTTTGTGAGTGGGATTTGCCAGGGGGACAATGACTAGTGCAGTGAAAGAGTGAAACATTGAACATCTGGGAAGGATGGCATTGCCTGAAGCGGGTAGAATGATAGGGAAATAAAAATTGAGTTTCTTGATCTGGATCCTTGAGTGACAAATTGCAGCCAGTAAACAAACTCACTTGGACTTTAATTTATAATTGATTAATCAATAACTGAAAATTATTCCATATGCTTTATGTTTTCAAAAACTGTGACATGAACCTTTTGTGTCATGGATAGGGTATTTTTAAAGGCAATGGAAAAGAAAGAGAGAGGAGGGGAGAAGAGTGTGTGTGTGTTTATTAGAAAGAGAGATTTTATATACTTTATAAAGAGATGTTATATATTTTATATACATTATATATAATAAATAAACTGTAATAATAATGTTTGTTTTATGGTGATTGGTACCCATCCTCTTTTGGTTGGTAGGTTTATATAGTTTGTCATTCAGGTTATATTTATAATTCTTCCCTTAAGCCAAAGTGGCAAACCTGTCAAGCTTGATTTGTAATGGCAAAACTATTATATTTTCCTTAAGTTGACTAGAAATTATTTTTGTTGGAAATAGCAAAACACTATTTTGTACCATTTTTGTTTTCATTGTTCCTTGTGGTCAGCCTTTTACAGTGCAAGATTGTTCACTTGTCATTTGTCTATGATGTGAGGCCATTGACAATCCTTATGTTTAATTTACACCACTGTTAACATAAGAATACGTTTTACAACTTCTGTTTTAGTGATTTAAAACAAGTGTATGGAGATCCACTTTGTTGGCATAACTAAGCTTTTGGTCAGGACATGGGTTCTGGATTCTTTCCGTGTCTGTCTTAGTATGTGTGTTTAGTATCATGTGTTTGAAGGAGCTGCTTTAATCCAGAGTTACTGTGTGTTCTATGCCTACTAGAGGAATTTTTAAATTACTAGTATATTTCCTACAAAGGGCGATTATATCTTTAGGAACTTTTCTTATTGACTAGACTTGGTTGACAACTGAACTGTATTTTACATTAAAAAAAAAAGTCTGGTCGTCTTGATATGTAGTTAGTAAGCTTTATGATGTATTGGCTGACTTTATTATATAAAAGCCGTTGTCTTTGTTCTTATGTTGCTTCCTTCTTCAGGCATTTTTAGAGAGAATTAAAAAAATCGGCTGTTCCTTTCTGAATCCTTTTACCCTTCTACCCAGTCCATGTACATATTGTTATATTACATATATGTCATATAATGTATATAATTTTATTTATATATGTGTGTATATGTACACACACAGACTCATTATTGCTTTAATATGGTTTATTTGAAAGGTAGAGAATGTGATACATGTATGACTAGTTTTGTATATCTTAAAATTGTTTTAAGCACAAGATTTAATAAGTGGATATTTTTCTTTTGTAAGACACACAAATGATGATGTCAGTGTTCTTTTGCAAGTAATGTGTTTTCTCCTTGTTATAGGTCCTTTTGTTCTGCATCACAGCTGCCATGTACATGTTCTTTTTCAGGTATGTTCTGTTCCACCTACTTATTTTAATAGAAAAAATAGTGTTCCTTTGTAATTTTTATCAACCATGTAACTAAAGTGTTTCCCAAGTAATTATCTCCCACAAGTGGCAGGAATTTGTTTTTTTCTAGAGTGATCAGAAGTAAATCACTGCTCCTTGGTGAATAGAGACAGAGGGAAGGAAGATTTGTTTTTTCCACATTCTATTACGGATTCATCTTGGAAAGCTGAATATGTAAATTAATAGTCCTCAATTCCTGATAAGTGAATTTTTGTTTTTTTGTGGACCCAACTTTAGATATTCTTCACTCTCCTTATAAAACAACCTACATTTTAAATTTAAATGAGAAAGGTGTGATAGTAGGGCGTAATCTAAGTCTTCTGCAAAGATAACTTAGCACGCTAATCATAGCCTTTAAAAAATATTAAATTAGTCCTTAGTGTCAGAGTTGTATTTTTCATTGACACTGAGACTCTCAGGAATGTGGGGGAGTGTTAGGATGGCTCAAGATTTCAATGCCAGTAAAAAGGGATGTCTGTCAGTGTCATACGATCATAGCAGTATGGGAATAGGACTTTTGGTTAGGAAGAATCTCTTCCATAATCTTCATTTTCTGTGATAACAGTGATTCCCATTTATTTCACTCTTCTTACACTCATTTGAATAGACTCTTTCTTGATTTTTCAGGATATAGGTAGAATTCAATCACAGCAGGAAGGACCAGGCTTTTAAGATTATGATTTGCACTTGATCCACAAAGGCAATTATGGATTTTAATAAGATATATTTGATAGATATCTTTATCTTTTTTTTTTACCTAAATAAGACAATTGAACCATACCAGAATTTTTAAACAACTAATTTCCTGCCAGAACATCCTAATAAATATTTGAAAGCACAATAATATAATTTTAACTTATTTTGACTTTATCAGAAATGTTACATGCAAATATAAAATGATGGTGTTGCTGTTATTATTCTTGTAGAGGGTCAGCCAGGCTGTTAGAAGGAAATAAAAATGGATAAAGTTTCAAGGTTGGGAGGACATAAGCTGCAAAGGGGTGCGCAATATCTTATGTCAGTTATTAGTGACTGAAAAAATCGTTGTGGCTATCTGGGAATCTTTGTGAAATTGTTTGACCTACCATTTTTAATATAGCCTCATATATATCATATGATTTCTGTAGTCTCTTTCTTATATTTTAATAATTTAAGGGTGGGATAGGGGAGTTAAGAACAATGACTATTTCATCAGTTTCCAAAAACTTCATAATTGTATTCAGACACATTATTAGGACGATACTGCAAAAAAGTTCACATGGCTTATGGTTATGTCCTGTCTAGTCTGAAAATAAAGCATACCTAGTGAGGAAAATGTAAAAAAGATAAAAATGTAGAAACATATCTTTTGTTGACATGCACAGGGGGAAGTACAATATCAAATAAATATTCTTTTTGTGAAAATTCCTAACAGAACAAGGAGTTAAGTGAAGCAATCCTTCCCAATATGGCACTTAAAGACAGCATATTTGATCAACATTTAGCATTTCTTAGTCATCAGAAGTTTTTGAGGTTTAAAATTGAACAAATTATGTGTTGAATATGGTGATAATGCCCAATTTTTAGCATGGTCTTAGGAAATTGTACTTTGAAAACTGCTGCCATCAACCTGGTATTTTTGGTGTAGAAAGAAAATCAACCCTATAAATATGCATTTTGTTGCGGAGCTACGGAATCTTTTCCTGTTTCAGTCACAAAGTCTAGGTTAAAAACAACAATTTAAAATACTTTCCAGAAGGCTCAATACAAGGTTTTAGTGCCAAGATAAACATTTTCAATTTTCTGAGGAAAGGGGTTGTTTTTCTCCTAAAAGAAGCACTATCACCAAATTCCTAGTGTTCTTGGCAGAAGTTAGTTGAATAACTCAAGAAAAGAGGTTTGGTAAATGGTAAAATAAAACCACTTATAAAGTACTACGAGCAAACGAAACAATGTTATGTGTTCGAACTCTCCACCATGTGTTTGGAATAAACAGACAATATTGTACGTAGCAGTTAGCAAGTCCAATTGTATTAGAATATTTCATTCTTAAAATTCAATTTTATTATAATCGTAGAGATTTTAGGACACGTTTATTAAAAATTATTTTAATTCTAATCACATAAAATTAGGTAAGTAAATATCAAATGATATTGTTCCTAGGACCCCATTCATGGTGACCTTTTTTGAGAGGAGGATAAGGGAAACATTTTATGTTAGAAGTGAGTCAACTTGTGTTTTTATCCTAACCCATAAATGCAAAAAAGGGAAATGAGACCCCCCCTTTCAATAAGAGAAAATATGCCAATTTTATTTTTTTAAAGAAAGAACTCGAGGAAGTAGTTCCATAAGTATTTTCTAAAAGTAACACAGGATGTGATGGTTATAGTATGAATTTACTTAAAAAGCAACACAATGTTCTTAGTGTTGAAACTATGAGTGTTAAATTGTGTAATGAAAATAGCTTACTTTTGCATGGCTCTTAATGGTTCTTTTTAATAGGTATGGTTTTTTCACATACTTTGTCTCAATCATGGTGATCTTGATTTTCTATCTATAACAGCAGAAATAAGGCTTACATTCAAATGGAATCTTGGGAACCCTTCAGAGGCTTGGGTTGAGGAAAGGTAATATGTGAAGGGAGTTCTAGTTTTCTAGTTTTTGGCCAGCTGGCCATCTATCCATCCAGCTGTCCATTGATAAGAACACATGCTATGGATTCTGTTAGGAATTAAGCTACAATATTTTGAAGATGTTTTAAAAGAAGAAGGCTCTCTGTACAACCCCACTGAACATTCTTCCTAATATAGTTCTGCCTCCTTTATTCAATCCTTTTATTATTTTGTATATTATTGTCATAGCTTCACCTTAGAGCATTGTCTGTCACTGTCACTCAAGGCCAAGCAGAAATTGTGGTTGAAAACTTGATAGAATATTGTATTTCATGCATCCCTTTAATGAATTTCTTTACTTCCAGATGTGTATTTATGGGTAAAGCAACCTAAGTTTTTTCAAGCCAAAGGATTCATCATGGTTGTTGATTCAGACTTGATTAGGATCTTCCCATCAGTCGTGTGGAGGAAAGGAAATGAATTTTGTTTGAACCATTAGCTCTTTTTTGTTTTATTTGAGAAGCAAAGGAAAGAATCAATAACACAAACACTATGCCAAAACTATTACACTTAGTGCTGCTCACAAAAAACAATGAAACATGTAACACTTTCAAACATTATTTTATTGGTTTTATTTTCAACAGTATGTACCTGTGTATGAAGAACACTAATATTTTAGAAAAATGAAATAATTCAACTTCATTTTCCTTTAAATAGTTTAAAATGGACAGTATCATATAGCGTGTTATGACAACTTTGATCCCATCCTAGTCAGTACTTGGCTAGAAATTCTTTCCACCTGCGTTCGCAAAGGCAGCAACAAATCCAACAGTTTAAACATGCAGACTGACAGGCTCAGACTTGCTGTCATAGCAGATAATCTATAGACTATATGTTACTGATTCACAGGAGACATATCTTAATCTAATATAAATGTGGAAGATTATTGCGTTTTTGGTTAGAAACCGGTGCAAAGTAAAGTTTGTTGTTGCTGTGTTTTAAGCATATTTAGAAACAATATTGATGCCTGCCCTTTGATGAATTCTAGTCAACTCTCTGTGAAGGCACAAATAATTGACCATTTCATTAGTCTCAAGATATAGATGTAGTTTTTGTGTTTAAGAAAATGATATTATTTATTGGCTGGACAACCTGCAATTTTTGAGTGAAAGACGTTTGGGATTGTCTTTGAATCTCTCTACATACTTAACTTAGTATCTGGAAATAACTTTTATAGCAAGAAAAGAACTTTTGATTTGGGTCTCTCAGCCATTTACTGATTTTAATGAAAGTCCTTTAAATATCAATTAGGTTCTATTTTTAAAGGTATTACTAAAAGTACACAAAACTTCAGTCTAGAAAATTACATATGACATTTGGAATTTAAAAGTTTTACTTCAGGTTTAGGAGAGTTTGCCCTAAATAATTAGATTTTTATTTTGAAGAGATTTCTCCCAGCAATGCAGAGAGTGAATTGGGGGTTTGGAGGGGCATAGTGACAGGTAATGGGAGGATACTGTTGCAGTTACCCAGGAGAGAAACAGTGAGGACGTGGCCAGGGGTTATGGGAATGATGTGGTGAGCAGCGGATTTATCTGAGATAGGATTGCTACTTGGATGAGGAAGAGCAAAATACAGAAAAGTGAGCAAATTAGAAGATGTGTGGAAATTGAGCAGAGGTTTTGCAAATATTAAGGTTGAGGTGCTTTTAGGACACTCACATAGAAAAATATAGATATCAATTGAGTGTTTGGAGCTTGGGAGATAAAGTAGGGGCTTTTCTTGACTGTCACGCTAGCTGCTTGACTTTGGACAAATTACACAATTTCTGTATACTTTAGTTTCTTCATTATTAAAAAGTGTAAATTATTATATAGACTTTGTAGGTAGGATTGTGGGGATTAAATAAGACACACTGTCTTTCAAACTGTTTTGGATGGGACCCAAAATAAGAACTGCTTTTTATATTGTGAATATACACACACACATTTCCCAGAATAATACTTAGCCTTACTACATGTAATACGTTTGGGTATTTTTTATTCTAACTTTATTTAAAAAGTGACTTTGACTCACTAATCAGTAACAACCAGTAGTGTGATAAAACACTAAGCTAATACACGTAAGCACTTAGCACAGTGACTGTTACCTTAGGAAAAAGTAGAATTGAGTAGCGTTTGTTTTTTTAAACTAGGAAAGAAAGTTAATTAAAAGAGAAGATTTCAGGAATGAGGGTGTTATCTTTAGTGTTAATGCTATAGATATATCCAGTTACGTAAGAGCTAAAAGTGCTCATTTGTGGGGCAGGCCCCCAGCCCAGTGGTTAAGTTAGAGCGTTCCCCTGCAGTGGCCCAGGATTTCACTGGTTCGGATCCTGGGCTCGGACATGGGGCGCTCATCAGGCCACAATGAGGTGGCATCCCACATGCCACAACTAGAAGGACCCACAACTAAAAAAAATATATAGCTATGTACCAGGGGTCTTTGGGGAGAAAAAGGAAAAAATAAAATCATTAAAAAAAAAAATAGTGCTCATTTGCGAGGCCAGGACTGGTGGTGTGGCAGTTTGGTTCATGCACTTGCTTCAACAGGCTGGGATTCGGATCCTGGGCATGGACCTATGTACCGATTATTGAGCCATGCTGTGGCAGGCATCACACATATAAAATAAAGGAAGATGGAAACTGATGTTGACTCAGGGCCAGTCTTCTTCAGAAGAGCAAAAGGAGAATTGGCGGTGGATGTTAGCTCAGGGCAAATCTTCCTCCAAAAAAAAAAATGTGCTCATTTGCTCTGGCAGTCTGGTGGTCAGTGGTAATCTGCTAGAGAAATTTCTGTAGTTGAGTTGGGATAGTAGATTAAGAAATAAATGTGACATGTTGTACACTGTAAATACATACGGTTGTTTATATGTCAGTTATGTCTCAATAACGTTGGGAAAAATAAAAATAAATAAAATATAAAATAAATAAAAAATAAGTGTGAGATGAGGAAGAATGAGTATGGTAAACTCAAGAAGTTTGAGAGTGAAAAGGGCAAGTTGTTACAGGATTAAGGGTTTTTCTTTTGTATTCTTTTCTTATTGATTGATTGATTGACAAGAGAGACTAGACTATGGGACAGTTTAAGTGGATAAAAAAAGGTTACACATGCAGAAGAGGGTGACAAGTTGGAAAATGGGAGAGAGAAGAGAGATGGCCTAAAATGTGATTCAAAATGTCAACATGTATGGGTAGATTGTTAAACGTACTTGTCTGGGAGAGATCGTGATAGATGATTAGGAGGAAATTGAAGCTCTCTTTGAAAGCCTTGAACACATGGTTTAAATGAAAGAGGATTGATGTATAGAAGAGGTAGGAAATAGAAAAATCTAATGTCTCTGGCTTCCTAATTTCATTGTCATTCTTAAAAGGTAAATTAACTTGTTATAAAAATAGGCATGGGCTTGTGAAACTGTATATCCTCAGAAGATAGCTGCAGGTGAAACAAGGCAGTTCCATAATTGGCAACTAAACCAATGAGCTAAGCAAAGAATGCAAAATTTGTCCTATGAAAAGAAAAAGTATATAGATTGCTAAGACTGCTGCTTTAAATGGAAAAGATGAGAAAACATAGGTTCATAAATGTTGTGAATCACTTCCTCTGAGAATGTAAAACTTATTATCAAGTCACGTGGCTGTAATCTGACTTCCTTTTTTGGAGGAGAAAATTAGTCTGCCCGTTTGGTGAATGTACTCCATCTATGGATGAAAGTTATGGCAAATCTGTTTTCACTTTTTGCATGTCAGCTTTTGAGATACTTGTACCTAGATAAAGAAATTGCTCAAACATTTTATAACTAATATGAAAGTTTATTGTTTTTAGTAGAAAGCAAACAGAAATGTTGTATGGAGAAATAACATGACTTCAAAATGCAATTCCTAAAGTAAGGACTTAATGGGACATAATCATGTCAGAACTGGCCAGTTGGCTTTCAAAAATTTGCTGCAGTTTTATTTTGATGAATAAAAATGGCATTTTTAGGTGCTTTTTTAAAAATGTAAGCATTTGTTTATTTTCACTGATGTCGGAGTTCAAGAATTGGATGATATCCACGTGTTTATTAACTCAATGAAAAGTTTACACCATTAACATACTATTATCATTCATTGCCGATAAGCTTATTCTAGTCCCAGAGAAGTTGTAAGGTTCCACTGGATATAAGAGCTTCCTTGTGAATCAAGGATGGCACTGCAGGGGCTTGGGTGTGGGTAGGTGGGCGGGGAGGAGAGTGGAGTGGGGAGGGAAGAAATGTGTTGGCCCCAAATTCCCAAAGCAGCAAGATTTGGCCATCTCTCTCTCTGTTGTCATCCTTACTCTCAACTGTTGGCTAGTCCATCCCTTGAAAACTAAATTTAAAAATCTAAAATGGTTAAAATGGATAAAGAATAGAACCAAACAGGATATCCTTATCCCTCCATGTTCCAAATATCTCTAGGTATCATATTCTAGCATAACTCAACTAACTAAAGCCACAGGTGATTCTTAAAAGCATCTGCAAGCACTTTTTTCATAGCCAAACAGCTGCCCTGCACTTGACCTTGTTTCACCTCTTGCCTGCAGGGGAGGGATCAATGGTGAAGAGGATGAGAAAGAGGAAACAATTGCTAGAAACAGTGGGATAAGAGGAAGCCTTAGGTTTCTAGTGGCCATTTGTATTTAAAGGATCTACATTCATTTTTGTGTATCGTCAGTATAGTTATAAGGGAATATTTTCCTGGAATTTGCTGGTATATCATCAGCTTGGTAAATTATAAAACTTGTGCTAGGGTCTGAATGTTCTTGTCTCCCCAAAATTCATATGTTGAAATCCTAATCTCAAGGTGATGGTAGATGGTGGGGCCTTTGGGAGGTGATTAGATCATGATGGCAGAGCCCTCATAAATGGGATTAGTGCCCTTATAAAAGAGGACTGGAAGAGCTCCCTTGCCTCTTCCACCACATGAGGTTACAGTGAGAATACAGCCTTCAATGAAGTGGGCCCTCCCCAGATGTGGAATCTGTTGGCTCCTTGATCTTGGACTTCCCAGCCTCCAGGACTGTGAGAAACAATTTTCCGTTGTTAATAAGCCTACCCAGTCTCTGGTATTTTACTCTGACAGACTGAACTGACTACGCCAACTGGAAAGGGCCTTTCAACTTCCTAATGAAATTCATTAATATTTCAGGTGTCCATTACAAAAACTGACCTGAAGACCTGCTTGCTACCCCAAGGTGTAGGCCAACTACTGTCTCCATGTAAGCTTCCTTTCTCTTGAAGGAAAGTCTTTTAATAGGGGTCTTTTAAAAGGAAGTCTGAAATTATTAACTTATTTGAATTAAATTTATTATTCATTCTTAACCCAAATACCACTTTATGGCTAAATATTATTAGATTAGCTAATCGTATTAGCCAAAACCAGGGATTCCAACTATAAAGACTTCCACGACTATATACCTCAGTCATAATTGTAACTTCTTCCATTTCATTCCGGCTTGAGATGTAAATCTGCTTTTGAAAATACGAGATTAAGATTATTTGAAATTGAGTATAACTTATACATGATATAGAAGTTAGAAGCTGTTTGGCTATGAAGAGATGAAGAAGTGTTTGCATATACTTTTAAGAATCACCTTTTGGCTATATTTGGTTATGATATACTGCCTAGAGAGATTTTTAAATTTGGAAATTTATGATGAATATAAAAAGAATGATAAAATTTACTCTATAATGAGACATGATTCCTTGTGAATTAGTAAAACAGCTAGTTTTATAGAGCATGTTAGAGGACCAATGGCCTCAAGTTAAGATTCTATTAAAGTGATTTTTTTTTTGTAGAAAAAGATTTTTTGCTCATTGTAGAAAAATACCATTAAACAAAATGATCATCACCACTACCACCCATAATCCCTTCTTTTAGAGATGAACAGCTACCACCTTTGTTTATATCCTTATACGCCATCTGCTATATCTTTGTCTGTCTGTCTGTCTCTCCTGCCCACCCTTCCTCCCTCTTCCTCTTTCCCTTCCTTGCTCCTTTTCTTCCTCTGTCCTTCGCTTCTTGCCTCTCTCCTTCCACATGTCTCAAATGACATTGTATCACGTAGGCTGTATGATGAAATGCCTTTTCTTGGTGCATCTGCATTAGGAAAGACTAAGAATTTTCTGGTTAGTAATAAGCACCATGAAGCAGGAAACAGGCAACCCAACACAGATAGCCTGAAACACAGGGCCTCCTGTTTCATTTATTCACACTCACACCCACTCGGACGCATAACAAATTATTATAAGCCATAGAAAGGGTTTTGATATCAGTCTTCAGTTCTTCACTAAGAAACCAGTGATAACTCTTAACAATGTGAATGAGACTAAAATAATGTTTCCAAGCATCTATTCTTTCAAGTTCTGGGAATCCTCTTCTGTGTGCTAAAATGTCTGCTTCTTGTTTAAGGAGAATTATTACCAATCACAGAAAGTTCTTGGACTAGACTTTTCTGATACAGATGCTGAAATTTGAAGCAGTTAAGTTTAACTGCTTGCTCTACCAGTTATGAGGAACGCCGTAATTCACTATGTTTTTTTTCCAAGTCTGTCTGTTCGTTTGTTTTATTTTCTACTGCTTGAGTTCTCCTAGAGGTAATCAAGGGACTGTTGTGTAGCAGAGTTGGTTGAGAGCATGACTCTTGAGCCAGACTGTGTAGGTTCAGTTCCTTGCTCCATCTGACTTGTGTAGTGGTCTTGGGTAAGTCACTTAGCCCCACTGTACCTGAGGGTTCTCATCTTAAAGTCGGGATAACAATAGTACTTACCTCATGGGGTTTTGGTGAGTATTGAATGTCTGCCATATTGTAAACATGCAAATGTCAGCTGTTTTTATTATTTAAATATGAGCTGTAAAGATCACATATGGTAGGATTTCATTTATATGAACTGTCCAGAATAGGCAAATCTATAGTGATAGAAAGCAGATTTGTGTTGAGTACAGCTAGAAGACTTGAGGGGAGTGAGGAGTGACTGCTAATGGGTGTGAGTTTTTTTAGGTGTTGATGATGTTCTAAAAGTAATTATCATGATGGCTGCACAAGTCTGTGAATATACTAAAAACCATTGAATGATATACTTTAAATATTGAGTTGTATAGGATGTAAATTATATCTCAGTTAAGCTGTTATAAAAAAAATATGACCTGGAAACAGATCTTTGTTGCACAGTGGCATGGTGTTTCTTGTGTTAACACCATTAAACACCCCTCTGGTTGCCACGTCTCAGGAATGTTACTGTTTTTGGGGGTACATAGATGTACATTGAAAGAGAACATCAGGAAACTTCTCTTTTTCTCAGGTGTGTTTGAAGGAGGAGTGTTCCCTTGGAGAATGACAGAATGGAGAATATGCAGGGGTACTGCAAAGCTTGTCAGCTCTCTTTCCAGAATTTTCAAACTGCAGTTTAGAATATGCATACTCTTAGTTCTGAGACAGTACACTTAAGAATTAGAAGGGAAGTAATAGAGGAAGCTACGATAGAAGTCACAAGTATATATGAGATTGTATTATCATAACATTGTCCTAATAAGACTGAAATTTGTTTTTGATACTTAATGAGTTAGGATTCTTTTACTTGGTAGTAACATTTGAAAAGTACTGTCTAAAAAAAATTTTCTAGGATTGCCCATGAAGACTAATTTCAGAAATGTAGATATGGTACGATATCAAAGGTATGTATTGATTGGAGGAAAACAAGTTGAAGAATGAAAATAAATTTATTTATATAAAATGTTTAGGCTTATAGTGAATACGTTCTCAAATATAAGTCTGATGCATTCCTGTGGATCAGAATGAATAGTCATAGGTTGCCATTTAACGATTGTGATCACGAGAATGCACTTTAAATATCTATGAAGTCCGCACATTCCAATTTAGTTTGAGTGGAAATTAAATGTACAGTCTTTGGAAATATAAATGATCAGTTCATAACTTGATTATATTTTGAGTATATATTTCATAGATTATATATTGATATTGATTATATTTTGAAGAAGAATTTTACTATATTTTCTATTTGTTTTGGGGGGAGGTGTTTCAAAATCATTGCCCTTGCCATAGAAAATTATTGAAATAAATAGAAGGGCATAGGAGGAAATTATATTAATATTTATATCATATATATCATGTTTTTTCCTCTTCCATGATATATTCTAGGTATTTTTCAAAAATCACAGGTAGCAAAAATATGCAATATTTGGATTTATTCCAATCTGTATCCTTAGAACTTCAAATAAAATATCCATGTATGGAGGCTTATTTTTTATGCTGTATAGGTTCAGTGACTGGACTTATTGGGAGAGGAAGTACATCACTTAAGAGCTCTGCTGAGCTGAAATTCACAGTAAAACAATAATTTCCATCATTATCAATTTTCAGCATAGAGTCTGTTTCTAACGTGTACTGAGTCACTGAACCAGGAAGGTGTTTACCTGCAAGGTGAGCTGATGAAATGGGAGAAGCTTTTAAGTTCTAAAATTTCAGTCAGAGTCTTCCCTAGAGGAAGGAAGACATGGGTCTCCTCCCTTTTTTATATTCTCTTGTCAATCACAAAGCCTCTTTGTACTGATGGGGCCTTGATGGTGACTGAGTGCTGACTGTTGATCATAGTCTTGTCATCCTAACATGCAAAATAAGAGGAGGAGGAGAGCATAGCTTTGGGTTCTCAGGCCTTAGAGAGTAAGTTGATGTGTCAGCCCAGGACCTCTGAATCCAAGCTGCCCTGGAATGCTTTCTAAAGTGATTTGATCACTGAGTAGAGTATGTAATTCTTATGATTTTTAGCTCCTTAGTCTTGTTCAGAACAAGAATGATATTTAAAATCAGAGGATGGAAGCAATTGAGCTTATCAGATTTGATTTCTTCTATCACAAAACATTAAGCTCTCTAATATTTGTAAGCACAAATGTTATATTAACTTCTGTTTCTTGCTCGAATGCTAAAAAATGGTTTTTGAATTGGATAATTCCCAATTCTAATATTTTGGATAAACCTTCCATGCAGAGTATCATCTTAAGATATTTTCAAAGGTTCCTATGGAAGGTAAGACTGTCCTCATCTTACCTTTTAAAACCACCAGCAGCTTTTAACATGTGTGAAACACGTAGGAAGATTTATTATAGCAAGCCAATCTTGCTGAAATTACTTGAGTCCTGAGAATTTTATAACTTATTGAAGTTTTTGATCACTCTACTGAAGTTGTTGTCTATTTCTTTTGGATCTGAGCTTTACGTCCCTTATAATTTTCTATTACATTTTAATGATTAAGAACAACTGTGTGAATAAATATAAGTTGGAATGATATAGCTTTCACCTTCTTAAAAGAATATAGGCCTAATGAAATAGTGTTAATTTTTAAATTTTTCTTTGCAAAAGCGGAAATAAAATAGTTCTGATAAGGATAAAAAAAGAAAGGTTTTGTTTGTTATCAAGTGAGATTTTATTAATTCCTAAGTATATGCTTGTTAATATTCAAGAGGTATAAAATGAACTGTTACAAATTTAAGTGTCTGATGTAAGGACCAAAAGTGAGTCCTCAAATTTTAACTTGCACACAAATAAGTTAGGGATCTAACTGAAATGCAGATATGACTCAGTAGCTCTGGGATGGGATGTGAGCTTCTGTATTTCTAACAAGCTCCCAGGTGGTACCAGGGCTGCTGGTCCTGGGATCACACTCTGAGTAGCAAGCTGTATGTCACCTCAAGAAGTAAATAAAATTTTCCTTAAAATCTGTTAAAATAAATCCAGAGAATTTAATCCCATGGTCTCTCTTGGCAATCTATTCTAGTAGTTCACAGCGTAGAGAGTCAAATTTTCCCCAGACATCTTAAATCTCTGTAACAAGAGGGAATGGGCTTACCCTAAAGTCCTTTTATCACCTGACGTGGAAGACAGCTATTCATATAATTATTTTAGATGCTCAAAGATTATGGTGTCCCCTCTCCTCCCTCTTACTTTCTTTCAGCATCAGCCTCCTTTAGCATTTCAGTACATATTTTACTTTATCATCCCAACTTAAACTGCAAATCTATGAAGGGAGAAATGATGAGTTGGTTATTCAGTAGGTGAATTGATGAGAGATTTTTCTGATCTAAAATTTATCATTTATCAATCTATGAAACAAAAAGACTAGGAGAAACAAATCTTCTCTTTTTTAAAAAAATATGTTACTTATACAAGTAATACACTACTGAGTTCTTTTGAAAAAAATTCAAATAATCAAAACTATGTAGCATAAAAAGTGAAAGTTTTTACCCCTTTATCTGGCTGCTTCTTCCTGCTTCTCTTTTCAGTTGAAACTATCTTAACAGTTTGGCATACATCCTTCCAGAATTCTGTCTGTACATACTTATATACCATGTCTATATTTATTTTGAAAAATAGGATTACATACAATATATTTTTCTGCAGTGTTTTACTATTTAATAATATGACTTAGGGTTCTGTCCGTATGTCACTACACATAGATCTACCTCATTGTTTTTAGCAGCTGCAAAAAAAGACCCCCAAAACTATAAATAATTCTTTAAGCCCTAATAACAGACATTATACTGTTCTAGTTTTTCACATTACAAATTGTACAACTGTGAACATTCTTTTTAAAATATCTTTGTGCACATGTTCCAGTGTTTCTGTAGGTTAGATAGTTACCTGCAAATGGGTTCTCAGGGTCAAATATACAGACATATTTAATTTTCATAGATACTGCCAGATTATCCCCTACAAAAGGCAGTACCAATCTACTTTCCCTCCAAGAGTGTTTGTTAATCCTCAATCCTAGTTCACGTCGGTAATTTTTACCTTTGTCAGTCAAATGAGCGGAAAGGTTATGCCTCATTTTTGTGTTTCTTTGTATTTCTCTGGTAACTAGTGAGGTGGAACATCTTGTCATCAGTGCATTAGCCATTTGGTTTCCTTCCCTTTACCTATTCTTTATTTTTTAATTTATTGTGCTGATTTGTAGGAGCTCTTTATATGATATCTGTATTCATTTTTGCTTGTTATATTGCTGTATCAGTCAGCTGTTGTGTAAACAACCACCACAAAATCTTAGTGGCATATGACAAGCAAGTTGTCCGGACCAGCTCCGTGTCACACTGCAGGTGTGTGGGTCAGTCAGGGCAGCTCTGTGTAACACTGCAGGTGTGTGGGTCAGTCAGGGCAGCTCCCCGTCACACTGCAGGTGTGTGGGTCAGTCAGGGCAGCTCCCCGTCACACTGCAGGTGTGTGGGTCAGTCAGGGCAGCTCCCCGTCACACTGCAGGTGTGTGGGTCAGTCAGGGCAGCTCCCCGTCACACTGCAGGTGTGTGGGTCAGTCAGGGCAGCTCCCCGTCACACTGCAGGTGTGTGGGTCAGTCAGGGCAGCTCCCTGTCACACTGCAGGTGTGTGGGTCAGTCAGGGCAGCTCCCCGTCACACTGCAGGTGTGTGGGTCAGTCAGGGCAGCTCCCTGTCTCACTGCAGGTGTGTGGGTCAGTCAGGGCAGCTCTGTGTAACACTGCAGGTGTGTGGGTCAGTCAGGGCAGCTCTGTGTAACACTGCAGGTGTGTGGGTCAGTCAGGGCAGCTCCGTGTCACACTGCAGGTGTGTGGGTCAGTCAGGGCAGCTCCCTGTCACACTGCAGGTGTGTGGGTCAGTCAGGGCAGCTCCCTGTCACACTGCAGGTGTGTGGGTCAGTCAGGGCAGCTCTGTGTAACACTGCAGGTGTGTGGGTCAGTCAGGGCAGCTCCCCGTCACACTGCAGGTGTGTGGGTCAGTCAGGGCAGCTCCGTGTCACACTGCAGGTGTGTGGGTCAGTCAGGGCAGCTCTGTGTAACACTGCAGGTGTGTGGGTCAGTCAGGGCAGCTCTGTGTAACACTGCAGGTGTGTGGGTCAGTCAGGGCAGCTCCCTGTCACACTGCAGGTGTGTGGGTCAGTCAGGGCAGCTCCGTGTCACACTGCAGGTGTGTGGGTCAGTCAGGGCAGCTCCCTGTCACACTGCAGGTCTGCGGGTCAGTCAGAGCAGCTCCGTGTCACATTGCAGGTGTGTGGGTCGGTCAGGGCAGCTCCCTGTCACACTGTAGGTCTGTGGATCGGTCAGGGCAGTTGTGTTCCCCATGTGTTTGTTCTGATGCCTGAGGTGAGGGGAGGAAAACTATGCAGGGCAAGCTATCCTCATGTTAGTGGCGTGAGATTCATTTTCACTAATGTCATCTTAAAATATCGATGTATGTATACCTTAAGTACTCTATTTGAGCCTCGCACACACAAATGTCTGCTCATTTACCAAAGCATTTTCTTTGAGTATGTGTTCCCTCACTGCACTTCTGAGTTGTTTTTGTTGTATAAACGATACTTATAAGGTATTGTCTTTTCAAAGCATTCAACTCAGTTTCCATGGAAACAACTTTCTTCCTTTTTGGTTTATGTAGTCGTATGTAGATCAGTTACATGATTACATTAACAAATACAAATAATGTGAACACATTTAGGGGCAAATACATTGACTCTTGGCAAGCATGTAACTCAACTCGTGTGAACAAATGTTTTGTGGCTGTGTTTGGGAGTGGTGTTTTTATCTTTGAGTAATTGATATGAACATTAGAATGTTTTACAGAGAGAAAATAGAGAAGCTAAGTTTGTCTTTTTATCTGTAGTCCCTTACATAGAGATTGGATAAGAGAATATTTACTGTAAAGATCACATTTTAAAAATATTTACTAACTTCTGATGCCACGTCTTTTGTCTCTGTGGTATCATCATCATTACCTTTTTAAAAATCTTTAAGGATTTCTTCCATGTCTTAAAGCTCTCAAAATCTGGCTTCTACTTTTTTCCCCCCTTGTTATTTGTCTTAGTGGAGCCAGACTTCAGTCATCCTTTTTTACTGTAGGAACTACTTTATATATTTAACGTATATCTTGACACTTATTTATGCTAGCCTAAAAAGAACTGAGGTTCAAGAATTCACGGACTACATGCAGATTTAGTTTCGTTTTAAAGTCATTTGATATGTTGCAAAATTCCGTAAACAAAAGTGTTTTCCTTTAAAGTGAGTAGTACCAGTACTTAATGTTTCAGAGGATCATGGAGTTTTAGAATAGGAAGCAAATTAGAGATCATGTAATACAGCTTCATCACTTTTCTGGTGAGGAAACAGAATCTCTGAGGATTTTTGTGACTTGTCTTAGCTCACAGCAGTTAGGGACAAATGTAGAAGTAGAATTTTGAATAATTTACTTTAAAATACCATTAATTATTTCAAAACAATTGAATATTTTGAAACTTATGTGAGGAACATGGCAAAAGATTCAGTATTATTTTTGTGCTCTTAAATATTACAACGTGATGGAAAGCCTTTTTGAGAGGAAAGATGAGATTAAACAGATCTAGAAGTTAAGGAAGTTAGAAGTTTGGTCAAAAAATTTTTAATGCATATTTTGGGTTTTGTGTATAAAATAGTTTTAACTATATGAGAAATGCCATCTCATGGGATTATTAATCTTTCTATTTGAAATAATAAATATTTCTGATCATTGCCATTAGAAATCTTTGAAATTCCTTTCTTGTGACTAGATTTGAAATCAGAAGGGAGGATAAAGGCTATATTGTAGTCAGATGGCTATACTTTCTGTTTCTGTGTTTCAATCTCTTTCTTTCCTTCTCTTTCTCTCCTCCCTCCCCCTTCTCCATCCTGTTTCTTCTCTAATCTTTTTGTTTTTTTGTTTTCTGGTTTTTTGACCTAATATATAATGTCAAGGAAACAACTAGTAGTGCACTATGGCACTTAACATTAAATATCCATCATGGCATTTTAAGTGTGAGAAATGTGTGTATAACTGACGTTTCAGAATGGAATTAAATTTATGTTGCTACTTCCTTAGGCATTATTAAGAATTTCTTAAGAGGAAGAAACAATACATTAACATATATTTATAATCATTTCTGATCTTTTATCATGAATTGATCACTGTTTTATGAAATGTAAAAGATAGATATTGAAGATTTATTTGAACAGCAGTTTGTACATTTTAAGCCTTTCAGTTGTTTGCATTTTTGCAATGTAGTTCCAGCCTTAAGCTCACTGGATATAGTCAATTGTCTTTTAAATGCAATTTTCCAAATTTAAGATACATGCCTTTTATCTAGGAAATCAGGAATATCTTAAATTTTATTCTGTGTTTATTATCTTTAAGGATGTTATTTTATTTCTAGTATCAAAGTTTTTGTTGAAAAATAATTAACTAGATTTCCAAAGAGATTTATAAAAAAGAGATTGTTGTTTTTTAAAGCTGTGAGCTGTTTGAAGTTTTGTCAGACAAGTCTGAAGCTACGTTGTAGAGTACAGATTTTACATTTTCCTTTTTCACATCACGCTGGCCACAGTATTAATAAGCTACAATTGAAATATGAAACTTTGACAGAAAGCAGAAATTGGAATGTTACTAACAGCTGTTGTCATAAAAGAGATTAACTAGAATTTTATTGTGTCTAAAACATTATCTTCTCACAAGTCTCCTTTTTTAGATTACTGAATTGAAATTCTTACTCTACTCTGCATAATTGCACTTTAACAGTCAAGTATTGTTTCTTCTTGCTCCATACATGGATGGATTAAATAGATTTTAGGCTGATCACAGCTACCTTTTATAAGGTTCTGTTTGTCTAGAAGCATTCTTTCCAAATCATAATTCCTTTGGATTTAACTGTTTTTGCTTTAACTGTTGTGTTAATAACATCCAGATCTGCTCTGGGTCTTGACCTCTTGCCCTGTTTCTAGCCCTGCAAATCTAACTAGGTTCCCTATCTTGGCGTTGGACTTTTTGTTTAACTTCAGCATCTCTCTTTTTGCAGCATCCTCTTCCCATTGCTTTCTTCACCTGTCACTTATGTCTTCCTGTAAGTGGTCACCTACAAGGTGGGAACAATTACACAGGCTACATCTTGGGCACAGCGTGCTTTCTTTCAGTGCCCAAATTTATTTGTAGTATAAAGTAATTTTTACAATGCTGATGTACCCTAGGTAGAACCTGTCTATATTGTCACATATTTCCAACACTTTTGTATGGGAAATAGTGCCAAAAGTCCCATTTCTGGGTATGCAACTTAAGTGAGAGAAGTTTCAAATTCTTATGGGAAGAGCTAACAACACACTCGTGAGAGAGAGATATAATGAATCTGAGGAACAGATATTTGTCTAAATTTTATCACATTTGAAAGAGTCATATATTAACAGGAATTTTAAACGTAAGTAGCATACAAGCACATATAACTTAAAAAATCCACCCCTCGGAGGTATTGCGGGTTTGGTTACAGACCACTGCAATAAAGCAAATATTGCAATAAAGCGGTCACACAAAGTTTTTGGTTTCCCGGTGCATATAAAAGTTATGTTTATACTATACTATAGTCTATTAATTGTGTATTATGTCTAAAAACAATATACCTACCTTAATTAAAAAATACTTTATGGCTAAAAAACGCTAACCATCATCTGAGCCTTCAGCGAGTCTGCAGGTGGAGGGTCTTGCTTCAGTGTTGGTGACTGCTGACTGATCAGGGTGGTGGTGGCTGAAGATTGGGGTGGCTGTGGCAATTTCTTAAAATAAGACAACAGTGTAGTTTGCCACATTGATTAACTTCCTTTCATGAACGGTTTCTCTGTAGCATGTGATGCTGTTTGATAGCATTTTATCTACAGGAGAACTTCTTTCAAAATTAGAGCCAGTCCTCTCAAATCTTGCTGCTGCTTTATCATCTACATTTATGTAATATTCTAAATCTTTTGTTGTCATTTCAACAATCTACACAGCATCTTCACCAGGAGTAGATTCCATTTCAAAAAACCACTTTCTTTGCTCGTCCATAGGAAGCAACTCCTCATCCATTAACGTTTTATCACGAGATTGTGGCAGTTCAGCCACATCTTCAGGCCCTACCTCTAATTCTACTTCTCTTGCTGTTTCCACCACGTCTGCAGTAACTTCCTCCACTGAAGTCTTGACCCCCTCAAAGTCATCTATGAGGGTTAGAATCAACTTCTTTCAAACTCCTGTTAGTGTTGCTATTTTGACCTTTTCCCATAGATAGTGAATCCTCTGTTGGATCTGGGTAAAGTAAATTGAAAAACTTCCGCATAACATACACCATTTTAGGTGCCATTAAGAACATTCATGATTCTTATTATTTCTAAAAAAAAAAAATGTCTAAAAATCAATGTACATACCTTAATTAAAAAATACTTTATTGCTCAAAAATGCTAACCATCATATGAGTATTAGGTGAGTTGTAATACTTTTGCAAATTGAAGGTTTGTTGCAACCCTGCTTAATCAATAAATGTTAACTCTTGTTATTGTAATTGTTATTTTACCCAAATACATTATTTTAAAAAATCCAATTTTATGGCATTATGTAATGTGATCATTCACTGGTTAGAGCATAACAATTTCTGTAACTTTAGCATACATGGGGAGCATGTGGTAATCAGTGTTTCTTGTAGACACATATTAGCAAAAAGTAAATGGTTTATATCCTGGGTACCAAGTGAGGGAGTACACAGTTGAACACCGTAAGAGTTCAACAGAAGAGGAAGACACTTTGTGGAAATTTGATCTGTCCTTTAAAAGGATAATCAAGCAGTGGCAGCTGCAGCAGCTAACGTTTATCGAGTCCTTACTCTGTGCTCGGTGCTGTGTTAGACACTTTGTGTGCATTATTTTCCTCAAAAGTGCTAAGAGATATTATTTGTAGCCTTAAGGATGATGAAACTGAGGTTTAAATGTTTAGGCAGCTCTATCAAGTGTAGAGCTAGAATTCAAATCCAGATAAATGACAAAGAAGTGCTGCAATTATCTATGCTTTAAAATGTTTTTCCTTATCTATCATACATCTTTGGAGATAATGTACACACACACACACACAATCTCTCTCTCTGTCTCTAATGGTATTTAAAAACAATTTAGTGTTATTTTAAATGTATATAAAATACTGTGTATTTATGCAGTATTCTCAAGCATAAAATATATTCTGCTAGTAAGTTATATAGTCTCAGTGTATAGAAAGAAAAATATACTAAGCATCAGTCTTGGAACATGAAAGATTTTGGGAGAATGTGATAATCAGTGTTCAATTGCACCCCCTCCCAAAAAAGAATATTTTACGGATTGTATTACTTCAGGCTTTTTAAGTGAGACATTCTGAATTACGTTCAGAGGAGCTTGTGCTAAATATGTCCATCTTTTTGGTGGCCTTTTGTAGTTTTGCAAATGTGGGAAAAGAACTAATATCCTATTAACAATTTAGAAGTTGTGTTCAGGCTTGATTTAACCTAACTCTGCAGGCGTAGTACATTTCATTGAAAGTAGAGCATTTGGAGTAGAACTTTTATTTGGAGATTTGGGGTGTTTATAATGGATTTTCATTTTATTTGTGACAGACTTAAGGGGTGTTAGATCCAGTGCTGTAGTTTCCACACAGACAGGCTGGATTCTCTGGTGAGGATGGATGGGCTTTGGTTGCCACCTATGTGGTAATACCTTTTCTCTTTCATTTCCATGGAAAAGGTTGTTTAACAATTATTGTCATTCATCCCAAATTTAATTTGGTATCATGCATACCTATTGCACAGTTTACTTTCTGTTTTTTCTTTTAAAAACTCTTTGTTAATCTTGATGCTTTTTTTTTTGATAGCTTGCCCTAGCAGGCCAAAACTATGAAGTGTTTTTAATTTTCAGAATGTGTAGTCTTTTGTTCATTTTATTTCTTTGATAAAGAGATTATAAACTATGTTCTTAACTGTCAAGATGTACATAACATAATTCCCAAGTTAATTGAACCCTTATAAAGGGAATATGACTTACTGCTTCTCACTAATACCAGATAAAAGAAGGCTTTTCTTCTTTGATGATTTTTTTTACAGACATGTTAATTTATATTAGTGCGTTTGTATTCCGGGTGACTTCTGACTCCTCCTGCCCCCCGTTTGATAACATTTTGGAAGTGAAATGTTGGGGATCTGTATCTCTTTTCCACTGTTTGTATCTGTGTCAGTAATTTCAGACCATCCATCCTGACATTTTATTTTGAATTAGGAGTGGGGAAGACTATAACTTTAAACTTTTTTTTTTTCCTGCATCTTGAACATAGAGTTAGCAATTTTATAGTGGGATGAGCACAAGATGTAGAATTAGGCTAATCTGGATTCAAATTCCACTTTCACCACTTACTAGTTGTGCAACCTTGAGCAATTTATTTAACCTTTTGGAGCCTATTTCTGCATCCAAAAATACTGATAATTTCTCCTTTGCTGATTGTGTTGAGGATTAAGGACAATGCTGGTAAGGCCCCTTTCAGTGCCTGAGACACATAAATACTCAGTAAATTGTGGGGATTGTGCCACTTCTATTAAGGAAGATATTTTATCTCAGTTCTGAGGAAATATCTGTTAGACCTTGTGATACTCTTTAGTGCTAATCACCAAATATTTCCAGATTGCTCCTCCCCCAACCCCCCCACCCCCGCCCTGCCTTGGTCACATGGTAGGATTTCACTTCCCTGATCCTTGAAGCTAAGTGTGACCATGTGACTATCTTTGGCCGAAGGAATATGAATGAATGTGATACACAGCACTTCTGGGAAGGAGCTTTAAGAGCCCATGTGTTAGTTGCCATCTCTCCTTTTCCTGTGTTGCTGATTTTGAGGAAATATGTGTCAAGTTGGAGCATCCGTCAGCCTGGGTTCCTGAGTGGCTTCCGTGCCCAGAGCCCTCCTGCTGAACTGGCAGCGTGAGCCAGAAATGAACTTTTAGTGTATTCTGCCCCTGGGATTTGGAGGTTTTCTTACTGCTGTAAAACCATATCCTGAATGATACAGAACTTTTCGAAAACTGCAGTTTTTATCTGAATAAAGCAAAGTCTTTACCTGTTGTAAATGAAGGTTTGACCTTTAGAAAAAAATTGCTTATGATAGTTCTATTACTCAAAGTTAATTTTGAGCACCTGGGCCTTTGAAAACAGAATATATTTTATAAGAATGTGGTGGTTAAAAGGCACGTTGGAATCTAGAAGTGAAATTCTTAATGAGTATGCTTATGGAGTAACCTAGTGGTGGTGGTGGGGTGCACTGCTAGGCAGTAAAGCCTTTGAGTTTCATTTAATATAGAGCACCCAGGCCTGATAATGGTGAGAGTAGCTATGTAACACCACTGAACACGACAGGTCCTGAGAGAAAGGTAAAAGAAGGTTAGGAACTCTAGATGAAGGTTATTTTATAATATGCAGCTAGTTGTTGCCACTTAGGTTGCAACTATGATTGCCTATCTGAGCATCTGCTTTGCATGCTTTGGGGTTGGGCGAGAAAGCTGCTCAGTTGATTGAACAGTTTGCCTACAGGTGTGAAAATGTGCATCACTTGCTAGCTGCTCAATCTTCAGTAAGTTCTTTAATCCTTTTGGTTTTGTTTTCTTACCCATAATATGGTCAGGCTAATGCCTACTGATGATGTAAAGATGAGGTAATGGATATGGGATAACATTAAATGCTTGTTAGCTCTATGACAACAACTTAGAAGGTACTAAGAATTCTGGAGTTTCTATGCCTTTTTGTTAACTGCATTTGTTGAGAAAAGGTGGTGCTGATGCATTATCAAGACCTTCCTTTTTCTACGTGATTTTAGAAAGGAATAGCTCTGTTCCTTTTCTTGTGAATAGTAGCCTTTATAAAATCTATTTACTTTCCTTAATATCATGTAAAACTCACTAGACTATGAGTTTCTTCAAGGGGCATGAGCTCTTTTTTATTCCAAAGGCGTATCAAATTACCCTATCAAAATAGATCCTCCTTTCCTTCTATAGTATAGGCTTTCAGAAAATAGTACATTGGATTGAATTTTTTCTTTATCCAGCAGTGTAATTATCATGTTGATATTTACACATGTAAACTCTGCATGTTTAAATTATAGCGATATTATTTCTTACACATAGTGATATCTATATAAATAGATATTAGACTAGAAATCCTCTAGTAAATGAAATCATCAAAATGCTGTTTGCCTCAAGCTTATCTGATAATAAAATGTTGTTGATGAGACACATTTCTTATATCAAATCCTATTTTGACCATTTGAAAAATCCTTACTTCCTTGTTTTAGGGTTCCCTAAATATTGTTGCTATTTAAGGAAGTGACAGTATTCAGCTGAAATTGCAGCAGAGGTTAAAAAATCCCACAATTGCAAATTTATCCTAATATATGTAAGGAAACTTCATATACATAATTGATTCTGTAGAAGTGACAAAATTTATAGATTTAGTAATACGTAGTTGAAACATCTTTGGTGACAAATGTCAATGTAAAAAAGATTTAAAAACGAACTTTAGTTTAACCTTAGAAATAGTCTTGCTTTATGTTGGAGTAGCCTTATAGTATTTTTCATAAATTTCATTCCATATAACGATTGGATTTCATACTGTGAGTGAGTGAGGTTGTCTTATAATCAGAACATTGAGTTCTTGAGTAATTTACACTGCCCTTGATTAGCAGATAAAATGACAGTACATCATCCAGATTTTTGATCCATTTGAAATAACGTTATAATAAAATTCTAATTATCAGGTCATTATTTTAATGGTTTAGTAAACCACCAGGATTTTATATAGTAATAAACGGAATAAGGGGTATGAATAACATAAGTATTAGAGTACTATCCTTTAAGAAATTTATAATAGAAAACATATGCTATTCCAAAATGGAAAAATCCAAGAGTTGATGAGCTATTTGTTTTATAAAGAAATCACTAATGTTTAATTTATAACTTAAAAGTTGTAGAGTTTACTACGTGTACATGAAAGATTTCTTGTATTGCATGCTCATGGCTTCTAGCAGTGTCTTATAATAGGGAAGAAAAGAAAATGCTCTGTTTTTCATGTTTTAACTAGAATAAGTTAAAGATAGCATGTGTTTTTTGTTTTCCGTTATTCTCTTTTTAATAGTGGCATAATGTTTGTATTCAAACTCATGCTAAATCTTATCTTCCTCAACATTAATAATGTGTAGCTTTTTTTACCCATTTTATCCCAATAAAATAAAGATTTTTATAGTTACAAGATCACAGTTATGAGAAAAATTACAGTATTATTTAGGAATCTGTGATAAAATTTTCTATCATTTAGATAATAAAAAGTATCATGTTAATTATATAAAGAAAAAGATTATTGTTGGTATTCAACAACTGCAGTTCTGAGAATCAAATTATACAGGAGTTGAGTGAACATCTGAGTCCATATGTGCTATCTGGAAAACAGCCAGTTGTAGCTAAAACATTTCCTCATAATGTTCATTAACTTTCCATAGAAAAAGTGTTTTACACTTAGATCAGCTCTCTTAGAAGGAGGAATTTTAGAGCTAGAACAAATAATATTTAATGCTCATTTTATAGACCAATAGTAAGAAATTCCACCAGAAGCCAAGATTTTTAGTCCTACACATCTGGTCATCATGATTTTGGAATCTTTACACTCTGATGATATGTCTTTGTTATGACTTTAGAATGTTTTCTGGCCAACTCATTAAGCAGATATGGAAACGAATCCTGAGTCAGACCAAGTTCCTATCATGCATGAAGAATACTGGACTCTTTTCATCCTTAAAGAGAAAATTCTTTGGATGGTTTCGTGGAGCCATTTTGCCATATTGCACATAAATGGAGTGTATCACTCCTCAATGTTTTCTTGTCTGTTCCTCTTCTTCCAAAAAAAGAAAATCTGTTTTCTTTCATTTGAATGCTACTTTTCATTATACTTAGATCAAATTTTGATAAGGATCTGAAGATTTCTTAAAATAATTGGTATGCGTCGTTTGTAAAATATTCAGATATTCTCTTGAAGACATTTAATCAGCTGTCATTTTGATATAATTTATTTAAAGAAAATAAAAGATGCATTCAACTTTAAAAGAGTTTTTAGGTGGCTTGTATGGGATGTCAAATAATCAGGAATAAATTATCTGAGTTAAAGACAGAAGTACAGGCTATTTTGTAGTTCACCTTATCCCCTGGGTATAGCTCATTATTAAACACTATGCAAAAATATCAGTGGTCATCGTATGCATAGAGAGGATTTATTTCTCGTTAAGCATCTTCCCAGTTTACTCAGAGTATTCCTTGAGATACTGAGAAAATAATTTAAAATCTTTCTATATGCATTTAATGAGGGGTAGTATTCTGAACTATCCATTGAATATATACACTTATAGTTAAAAGGTTTTATTGAAAACCTCTTTCTGTTTTTGAACAAAGATTGAACTTTTTCCATGACTCAGAGTAATGAAAAGGAAATATTTATTTTGAGGATAAGCCAATTTATATATTATTGGACATAACACAGACCACCCAGGCCTGAAGCCTACTATTTATAGTTTGGGATCTTAAATCTACATATGCTCTTGATGAGCAAGAGCTATCTTTTTTCCAACTAAAAGTTTTATGTCTACAAAGGGTAATAATTTCATGTTTCTCCCCCCACTTAGTTAGTAAAATTCTGTCAAGTAGATTATTTTATTTCCACAGGGGAAAAGATTTCTTTGGACCTCAGTAATAATAACATTACTAAATTTCATCTATCAAAGGACTAATGTTTAATATTGTTGGAAAACATAGAGTTATATTTACCTTCAAAATCAGTTTCTTGTATAAATATATATATGTGTGTGTGTGTACACACACACGCAATGTAACTGGCTTGTTTTTAGTGCGAAATTTATACTTTGATTTGAAGCTCCATTCTCTGCTACTCAGCCATCACATTTTAGAATTCTTCAAAGATTGGTTCTAGGCTCTCTTTTTGTCTCTCTCTGTATTCTCATTGTAAACAACTTACCCCATCTTCATAGCTTTAACTACCATCTAATATAATAGGGAGTAAGAAAGAGAAAGTGGTGCAAAACAGAAACTATCAAGCATGAATCTCCTCAACCGCACATTGGAAAGTCATGTTTGTTAGCTTCTATGTTTCTCAGTAAAGTAGAAGATAGGGTTTTGATGAAGGATAGAGAGTCAAAGGCATGAACAAGATTGAGGATTTGAAATATTTGTTTTGTATAGATCAGAGTAAAACGATAGGATTGCTGGACTGCGTTCAGAATCCCTTTGAGGATGGGGATCATATTTTGTCGTGTGGTTTTCCCTAGCAGCACACCATTGCTTCATTATGGTTTCGGAAAAGGTAGTTTCATCCAGGGTTGCAGTTTTGCCAAAGGAGATGATACAAGGACTGAATGGAAAAGAATTTTGGGGTAATATAGTTTTTTCTAGAGTCATGGAATTTAAGCTGGATAAGGAGGAGAGTGAAGAGAGAAAGCATTGATAGATGGGAAGAAATACGAAGCTGATGAATTAGAAGTCTCTTAACAGACCAAAGAACCTTCATGGTGGGAGTAGATCATCAAGAAAATTAGAAGTAAATGAGAATGTGATTATAAGGTGAACTGCCTGAATAAAGGGTTCAAGAGCACTTAGGACGGCAAGATCATGGTACTAACTGTGGAAGTAGATGGGTGACATAAAGTGAAGGAACTCACTGGGAAGGAGAAGGCCAGAGTACTGCATGGATCACACATGTGGGTATTGACGTCACCCAGAATAGTGGAAGGATTTGGAATTGAGAGAAAGACAGTAAGTTAAGTTCCAAAACCTTTGATGAATAAGGGGGAACGAAGGAGATGTTAGTAGATACAACAGCAATTAGGAGACAGAGAGGAGTGAATGGCATGAGCCTCAAATGATCAGAATCTTTACTAAAGAATTGGCGATGATGATATAAAGCTCGAAATAGGGAGCAGGGAAGAATGTGGTAAGTAAACAGCCTTCATTTGAGATGGCTGCAGGGCATATGTATCTTTAAGGGGCACTTGGTTTTCACTGGAGGCAAAGAGGCAAAAGGAACCTTTTCCAGATGGAGTTGAGAATATAGGACAGGGGAAAACAGGTAGTCTGTACTCAGTAAATGCTATTTATTTATTGAACAATAATAAAAAGTCGATGGAAACACTAATATTATGTCCACGTCCCTTTTGGTTTTTATATGTATTGGTGTTTGGAATGGAGTATACATACTACACATGGATTTTAATAATCTCAGCATTAATGAGATGAGGCCAGGAGTACTAGGATGGGTAAGGGAAACGATCAGAACCATGGTGAAATCATGGCAAAATTTCTAAGTCAAATGAAACATTTACTGTCTTAAGACTATAGAATTCTATTTGTAAATGTGATAGATTGATTATGTACATGTTGGAATTGTTTCCCTACGTGTCTGTTGCTGCTTAAAGAAAATGCTTCAAAGTTTTATATTGTTTGAGTTAATGATCATATGATCACATTTATAAATTACCAAGATAGTGTAAACATTGCTTTCTCTTTAAAATAATGATTCATTTAATCTAAGTGGGAAAACTAAATAAAAATTGTTTTTTTATTGAATGATGTCATTATCCTTTCTTGGAAATGTTTTCTAAAGTTTCCTTTTATTAAACAGATATATATGGCTGCACTCATATGTGGAGTAAATTCTCTCTTATTAAACATATTTATATGGCTGTACCATATTCCAAAGTTGAACCCTGTATATGTTTGAGAAAATCTCCTGTGTTGAGCAGTTTCCTCAAGTTCATTTAGTATTGAAATATAAATATGTAATGAAGGCTATTTATTATTACCAGAAGTATCAGTAGTAATCATGATAGCTAACATATAAAATACTTATATTGTGGCAAGCACTGTTTAAGTACTTTACATAGGTTAATTAATGAAGCCTCAAAACAACCCTATGAAGGTAGGTACCATTATTATCATCCCATTTTTACAGATGGGTAAACTGAAGTCCAGAGAGGGTTAACTAACTTGCTGGTAAGTGGCAGAGTCCTGGACCTGGACCCAGCTGCTCTTAACTGTTAGGCTAAAGTACTTTATGTGATGTCAGGAAAAATATGACCCATAAAAAATAAGACTTTTCCTTTCCTACATTCTGTTTCTTATTTTCTCAGTCCCTATGGATGACTTAGAATTGAGTTCAGTGCTTAAGATTGAAAAACCCAAAAATATAGTGGCATAAACATGAGAGAAACTTAGTTCTTATGTAAAAGAGGACCTAAGGTGGGCAGTCCAGGGCTGATAGGGTTACTCCACAGTCATTGCATCCTAACCCACTATCTGTTTCACCACCTTGTGGATAAATTTCATTCTTAAGATCTCTTTCTGTACTAAGGTGGCTGCTAGAACTCCAGCCATCATTATCTGTCTTTTGGCCAGAAGGAAGGTGAATGGTAAAAAAAGAAAAAGGACCCCCTCCTATTGAAACCAGCTTTCTTTAGACAAAGCCCCACACAACACTTCTGCTCTCATCTCATTATTCAGAACTTAGTCACATGGCCATTCAAGCTAGGAATTGTCATCTTTTATTCTGGATGGCAGCATGCCTAACTAGATAATGGGTTTCTAGTAGTAAGGTGGAAAGGGAGAATGGGTATTGGGTAAGTATCTAGCAGTCTGTGAGACACCATCTCTGGTATCCACATCTTTTCAGACTGGTCGTTTGCACTGATTTGTGTCAACTCTTTTTTAACTGAGAATTTAAATAACTGACAGAGGTGAAGACAGGGTTGAGAAACAGAATGGGATTTTGGGGCACTCATGGCATACATATGCCATATGGTGAGGTTAATGCAAAAAGCAAATTTAGGGGCTGAGTAGTTAAGTTCATGCACTCTGCTTTGACAGCCCAGGGTTTCACTGGTTGGGATCCTGGGTGCAAACGTGGCACTGCTCATCAGGCCATGCTGAGGAGGCGTCCCACATAGCACAACCAGAAGGGCCTACAACTAGAATATACAACTATGTACTGGGGGGCTTTGGGGAGAAGAAATAAAGAAAAAAGAAGATCGGCAACAGATGTTAGCTCAGGTGCCAATCTTTAAAAAAAAACATAAATTGGACAGGGCATAGGTCATAATTGCTGTAGTTTTTAATTAGAGTAAAACTCTGCCATAAAGTGATAAGTGAAGTTTAATTATACATTCATATAAAATATGTGTTATGTTATTAAAGGTTAATAAAAAGCAGTGATCTTTAATTGGACTTCTAGTTCCTGCGTGGGGAGGGGGGTGGATGAAAAGATTCTCACCTATTTGTTTCATTTCTTTAAAAATGTAGGAAAAGATTGATTATCGAACTGAGAAAGTTCTAAATGATCAGGAGGAAGCCCCTGCCTAATTCTCCCTCTCTCACAGGAGATAAGCACTCCTGTCCACCCCCTTTTCATGAGTGGAGGAAATGCTGGATGTGATTTCAAATGGTTGTGGGAGTTTTATTCTATAGAAAAAGAAAAACAAAAATATTTTGAAGGAAAAAAGTTTCATTAGCAAGGTATTTTTTTTCCACTTAAGATAATATGTAGGGGCCAGCCCCATGGCTGACTGGTTAAGTTCATGCGCTCTGTTTCGGTGGCCCAGGGTTTCGCTGGTTCAGATCCTGGGCACGGACATGGCACTGCTCATCTAGCCATGCTGAGGTGGTGTCCCACATGCCACAACTAGAAGGACCCACAAGTAAAAATACCAGGGGCCTTTGGGGAGAAAAATAAAATCTTTAAAAAAATAAAAATAAAAAAAATAATATGTAGTAAGCTTCAAATAGTTACTTAAGCTTATTTCTTGTTTTAGTTACAACTTGGATTTCATGGCTGTTTTTGGTGATACATAAAAACTTTTCATGAAGTAAAGAGTTTTATGCATGCTGTATGTTTCAAAAAAAAAAATATATATATATGAAACTAAATGTCACGGTCAATATTCTTTTCCCTGTAAGTGTGCCTTGGAATACTGGAGAGCTAAGTAAAGTCGTGTTTACTTTCAGGGAGGTTAAATACTTACTCTTTTTTAAGGACGGTCTGACTATGAATATTTACATCACTTTTTCTTTTTTTTTTTTTTGAGGAAGATTAGCCCTGAGCTAACTACTGCCAATCCTCCTCTTTTTGCTGAGGAAGACTGGCCCTGAGCTAACATGCATGCCCATCTTCCTCTACTTTATACGTGGGACGCCGCCCACAGCATGGCTTTTGCCGAGCAGTGCCGTGTCCACACCTGGCATCCAAACTGGCGAACTCTGGGCCGCTGAGACGAGGAACGTGCAAACTTAGCCACTGTGCCACCGGGCCAGCCCCGCATTTGTTCATTATACATACTATCATCTATCACATTTTAGATGACTTAAATTTCCAATAAATGATTCAAGGATTTGAACTAGAATGAGAAAATCTTCTATATCTTTATTTCAAGAGTGTATTAGGAACAAAATTCTGACCTAAGGGTCAAAGATATTGAATGGACCAACATGAATTTAACAAAGAATTCTATGCTGTCTCCTCTTTGCTATTGTATTTTTTCTCTTGTTGTACAATTAGTTAAACCCGGTTTACTAGCGTTGTTAATGTTCTTTATTTGTTTTGTTGCTTATGGAAACCTAATTGAAGCTTTTGAGAGTGGATTTCAGTCAGAAGTGATTTATTTTGTGTATCTAAGCTGGATTCCAGCTGTTGGAGGTTTTTCTCTTAGAAGTCTAAGTTTCAGATAACATCTAGATTGAAAAGACAATTCTGGTTAAGATGCCTATCCTAGTCTTTATGAGCAATTTAAATTCTTTGTTTTTCCAAGTCTCTAAGAATTTTACTTAGATTTTCATGTTAGAAATCACTGTTTATGCTTAAATGTGTTATACTGATAAGGTTATAGATTCCAAAGATTGCTTTTAAAAATGACTGGTTTTAAGAAAGGATTATATGTGTTTTAAAAAAAATTACTGGTACTTTTCCAATTTCAGTTAGCCAAATCAATAGAATTTAGTAGGCTGTCTCTAAGAAAAGTCCTGCAGCATCTAACAAAAGAACGTTTCCTTAGTGCTTCTACTTCAGAAGTTGCCACCTCTATTAATGTGAAGAGATAGCTCCCATTCATACTGCCATATGGTTTACCATATCCTAAATCTTTCCATGAATCCTTGCTTTTTTATTTTATTCACCAAAATGTAAGTAGTTTCACATCTAGTTTTTGACTTACATGACTTGTCAAATTCTCCTGTTTATTATTAAAATTAAGCTTTATAGCCTTCCTAATAATGTCATAAATTTAAAAAGTTTTATGAAATAACATTTTCTATAAAGGTTTCAGCCATCATTATTCTTAGACTAGATTTCTTTTGACTCTCCCAAGTTCTTTTTTTTTAGAGAAACTTTGTTTTTCTCAGTTTTGAAACATAAATACCTGAGGGAACATCTATAAAAATTTCAATTCTTTTCTCTTATGTGAACTCAGTTATAAAATACTTTCCATGAAACTTGCTGTATCAGGTTGCCTATCAGTTTACTTTTAGAAAGGTCATTTGTGATTGCTTCCTTCTCGGCTATAATCCTTAGAAGAAAAGCCTGCTTGAAAATTATACATCAGCCCTAAAGAAAAGTCTGTAATCATAGTCTTATTGGGTTCAGTTGATCAATAACCAGCTCCCTAGAGCTACAGGATGGTCACGTTAACTTACTATGGATTTCCATGAGGTTTTCATGGTCCTAATATCAATGAAGAGAAGAAAATTCTGTCATACATCCCATTACCACCCTATTAATTTTAGTCTTTAGAAACTCACTTTCCATATGCAGGCTGCGGTTAGTTTTGTGATTATCTAGAATACACTGTCCAGTATGGTAGCTGCTGTCCACATCCAGCTGTTGAGTACTTGAAATGTGGCTAGTCCAAATTAAGTGTGCTATAAGTATAAAGCACACACCAGATTTTGAAGACTTAGTATGGCAAAAGATGTAAACATCTCATTAATAATTCCTTTGTGTTATTTGTTGACATGATAAGATCTTGGATATATTCGGTTGCATGAAATATATTACTAAAACTAATTTCACATCTTTCTTTTTACTTTTTAAAATATGGCTACTAGCACATTTATAATTATGTATATGGCTTGTGTTATATTTCCTTTGGACAGCACTACTCTAGCAGATACAAGACGTGAGATGATCTCTATGGATCCTTTGGTCCCAGCATTGTGATGATTCTGATTGATGCTCTGAGTGATGCTGGAAACATCATTTTATTTTCAATTGTTATGATTTTGAGGTCTCTATTGAGGGTTTTTATAGTGTACTATTTTGGAATGTAGAGCTCTTGGAAAATCCTTTCTATTTCTCAGGGCATGAGCCAGACTACTTTTGCTTTGAAAGAATTTAGCCTTTAAACTTTTCATTATGCCTCGATCTTCTCATTTCTGAAGTTGGAACTTTCTACCTCGTACAGCTATTATCCTACCTTTCTTCTTCCTTTTTTATTATCAAAACCCTCAAATGTGTTAATTTTGTCTCAGCGATTCCATTTATTTCATCCAAAGCTCATGATCTCTTATAGTCTGAGTTCTATCTT